GAATGCTCTCAGATTATTCCCAGATTAATCAATGTCCAAGTGTATAAACAGGCTTGTGCTGTTTGAATCAGGTATCCATGATTTGAAATCAAATCCCTTTGCAAAATTGAATCAAATGATCACCTCCATCATTTCTGTCCCCAAGTCCAAAAATGCCAGTGATGCCTGTTTCTGCTTGGCTGACAACTTTTGGATTGAAATCACCCAGTATGTAAACAATGATTTTTGGGGATACTTTTCCTTATTTTCAATACTGGCATAGAAATTCTCTATTTCAAGTTCCATTGCATTTATTACTGGGGCCTAGACTTGGACAATTGTGATTTTGAGGTGCTTGACATAACTTGAATGGTTATGATTCAAATATTTATTGTCAAGAAGCTTTCCATTATTTGGACAAGTTTCTTGCTTGTGATAAATGCCACTTCGTTCATTGTCCTGGTATAATGTCCCAAGTAATAGAGAGCGAATTCATCAGACTGGGAATAGAATAGAATAGAATAGAATAGAATAGAATAGAATAGAATAGAATAGAATAGAATAGAATAGAATAGGATAAATAGATAGATAGATAGATAGATAGATAGAATAGAATAGAATAGAATAGAATAAGAATAGAATAGAATAGAATAGAATAGAATAGAATAGAATAGAATAGTTGGAAGGCACCTTCAAGATCTTCTATTCCAACCCCCTGTCCAGGCAGGAAACCCTAAACCACTTCAGACAAATGGTTATCCAACATCTTAAAAATTTCCAGTGTTGGAGTATACACAACTTCTGCACGCAAGTTGTTCCACTTATTAATTGTTCTAACTGTCAGGAAATTTCTCCTTAGTTCTAAGTTGCTTCTCTCCTTGATTAGTTTCCATCCATTGCTTCTTGTTCTACCCTCAGGTGCTTTGAAGAATAGTTTGACTCCTTCTTTGTGACAACCCCTGAGATACTGGAACACTGCTATCATGTCTTCCCTAGTCCTTCTCTTCATTAAACTAGACATACCCAGTTCCTGCAACCGTTTTTCATGTTTTAGCCTCCAGTCCCCTAATCATTCTTTGTTGCTCTTCTCTGCACTCTTTCTAGAGTCTCCACATCTTTTTTACATCGTGGCAACCAAAACTGAATGCAATATTCCAAGTGTGGCCTTACCAAGGCATTATAAAGTGGTATTAACACTACATTGTCTATTCAATGTAGCTCAGTGATGCCAAGAAGGTTGATTTTCAACCTGGCTATCTCCTGTTTGATTATGTCCAATTTACCCTGCCTTATTCCTTGGACATTCCATGTTGCTTTCTGGAGTGTCTTGGTGCTGCAGAGTCCCTTGTTTTCATCAGGGGCTGCATCAGGATTCCTGCTAGATTTGGTCGAGGCACATCATTAATGCCTTGACCACTTACTGTGGGCCCTTGCTCTTTCCCAATATTTGTTGGGTACCTTCTGCCCTAAGGATTCTACCATATCATTTGAGAGCTTTTCCATAAAATTTTCTTTGCAAAGTTTTTTGCAAATTAAGTTGCAGGCCTTTCTCAACCCTGTCCATTTATCCAGGCTTTGTGACCAGCATGCAAGGGTATGGCTTTAAAACATAAATGTCCTTATTTGGCAGGGGAAGCTGCTGTCACAATCCAGTGACTTTTAAAATGAGTATTTTATCTGCTCCCACTTAAGAATCTATTTATGTATGTAATGATAAATAACTCCAGGAAAAAAGAAGCACGGACTTCTTCTTTTTTTAACATCCCTTCAAATGTCTTCCCTCTTCCTTTTTTTTTTTTTACCTTCAGTTCAATATTGATTTTTGGTGACTGCCTGGGCAAATCCCTGTAGTTTTCTTTAAAAGTTGTTTTTGGGAGGGGGGAGTGGTTTGCCTTTGCCTGCTTCCTAAGGCTGAGAGAGGGTGACTAGCCTAAGGTCTCCCAGCTGGCTTCATGTCTAAGGCAGAACTAGCACTCACACTTTCCTAGTTTTTAATTTGATGCCTAAGCCATTAACACCCAACTGGCTGTCTCCCTGTTCCTTCTCTGAAATTAAAAAGAAGAGGGGTGAAGTATTGCTAAACAGTTTCTAGAGTTTTAAAGCCACCTTAATGCTTTCCTTGGCTTCCCAAGAAGGAAGAGGTCATGATGCTAAATTAGAGTGTGTGTAATTAAATTAACACATAATTAACTTAACTACTAGTATAAAAAGAGTGAGGATGAATGGAATATAGAAATCAGTATAAGGAAAATGGATTATAGAATGTTTCATGGGTGATACAGAAGTTAGAATACTGAGTGAAAATTGACCATCGTGCTACAGCTGTTGCAAATTAGTCAAGGGCTGTATCCAGTACATCGTCTACTCTTTATTTTGTGGAATCAATTTCAGTAATGCAGTAGCGTAGGATGTTTTATCGGTAGTAATCCTTTGCAAATTACCTTTGTCCATACAATTTGAATCATTCTGTCTTCGACAGATGACAGAAAAGTTCTTCCACAAGACCAAAATGGGAATATTTCCTTAGTGCAGAAAATTACATGAGGCCTGAATGTAATGAAAAAATTAAATACTAATAATGTCTCAATTAACATTAGCAATAATGCAGCAAGCATATGAACAAGAATAAGAAATATGGGTTGAGTTGAGCAGAATTGCTAGAGAACTGAAACTCACAGGCCTTTCAAGAACAGAATCAGCAGCCTTGAAGGTAAGAAGAGATTTGGGTGTCTTAAGATCTGTAATATGAGTAAATAGAGCCAGCAACAATATTCTGGTTGGCAGACAAATATTGTTCCTGTCCCTAATAATAAAAAAAATAATAATAATAATAATAATAATAATAATAATAATAATAATATAATGATAATGATGATGATAATAATAATAATAATAATAATAATAATAATAATAATAATAATAATAATAATAATAATAATAATAATAATAATTTTATTTCTATACCGCCCTTCTCCCGAAGGACTCAGGGCGGTGTACAGCCTATTTAAAAACACAAGACAAAACAGTGATTAAAATTTAAAATGATTAAATAGATTTGGCTCAATTTAAAACCCCAGAAATTTAAAATACCCCAATTTAAAACTATTATGTTGATAGCCCGGCCTGGCAGAACAACAGGGTCTTCAGTGCGCAGCAAAACACCCAGAGGTCGGAGATCTTACGTATTTCCGGGGGCAGTTCATTCCACAGGGCTGGGGCTCCCACAGAGAAGGCCCTCCCCCTGGGTGTCGCCAGACAACATAACTTGGCCGATGGCACCCTGAGGAGACCCTCTCTGTGGGAGCGGACTGGTCGGTGGGAGGCTATTGGTGGCAGAAGACGGTCTCGAAGGTACCCGGGTCCTATGCCATGGAGCGCTTTAAAGGTGGTAACCAGCACCTTGAATCACACCCAGAAGACCACTGGGAGCCAGTGCAGCTCGCGCAGGAGGGGTGTCACGTGGGCACAACGAGTTGCGCCCATAATCACCCGCGCAGCCGCATTCTGGACCAGTTGGAGCCTCCGAGTGCTCTTCAAGGGGAGCCCCATGTAGAGAGCATTACAATAGTCCAACCGGGAGGTAACAAGGGCGTGAGTGACCATGCGCAGGGCATCCCGGTCCAGAAAGGGCTGCAACTGGCGAATCAGGTGAACCTGATAAAAGGCCCCCCTGGCCACGGCCGTCATATGCTCTTCATACCTTCCTTTAATTTTTCCCTTTTTTTAAATTAAAGTTGTAGTTTAAGGGATGCCAGTTGAGCGTGTACATCTTAATTTTTCTATTATTTTCAATTTTTTAAATAGAGGGTACCATCTGCAAGAAAATAGTACTTACTGCAAACTAACTGTTTTTAGAATCAGAGCAGCTGAAGCAAACGCCATTGTATCTCTGATAGTATCATGATTCAAGTGAATTTGAATATGAAATGCATATGTTTAGAATATTTCCTCTGAACAAGGTTCATCAGTGGGTTTATGTATTTTATTTATTGATATTTTAACCACAGGGAATGTAAAAGCAGTTGCCAAGCATGGAATCTCAACAGGTAGGGAAAAGTTAATCTTAGCTCTTCGAGTCACTGAAACTAATGCACAAATGGGCAGCTAAAGTCCAAGTTCTAAAAATATTTGTCTGCACCAGTGAATAATAAGCAGGAGAAATAGCACCACCATCTGTTTGTGTGTTATGAGAGAGAGCTATGCTACACATTCCTTTTTTGGCAATTCATGCACCATGGGAAATTGAAGGAAAAAAATTCTATGGAAGCTCTCGCAAATAAATAAAATCAAACTGAAAGTGCTGCAGGTAAACAGAAAGCCCTTCCTGTTCTTGATCCAGCCTCTGGAGCTTACAGTGAAGTCATGAATGATATGGGAGGTGAAAAGTGAGACATTTCACAAGGAGGCTAGAACAGGAGCCGCTGACAGTGGGACAAACTCTTTCTGAGCTTTTCAACTTCACACCCTACTAATGAGTACCCACGTTACAGTGTTCTTAATAGAATTTTTCCTGTCCCCGAGGCTCACTCCCAGTTAAGTCAGTGATTAAATAGAGCTCATGTTAACAGTATCTCCTTTCTGTATTTATTTCCCAACGCTCTTTCCCTTTCAACACTGCTTATACTTGGAGGGAGGGGGTTTTTTTTAGTGTTGTTTCTCACCTAAGGACATCAGACAGCTTGGAAATGTCTCAGACTCTCAGAATCAAAGAGCTGCAGGAATTTCTTCTCTTTTCAGAATCATTGACTAAGAGAAAGCTAGGAGGAAGCTGACTGTAAAAGAAAATGTTCTCTTGGAGTAATAAAATATAAAGCATAACATTATCATTACCTTATTAAAGGTAATAAGCCATGAGAAATATGCTCTTATCAATTGCTCCTGTTTAACCTAGCTCTTCTCTATTAGCTAGCAGAGCAAATACCTTTGAGGGTTCTTGTGTTAAAACATAATTGGATACAGAAGATAAACATCGCCTACTAGACCCTCACAGCTATGTCTTTCTGTTTTCTCTTGCACTATAGCTTTCCCCTGGATCTGAGGATGATGAGGGACATGACAGCTCCAGCCGAGAGAATCTGGGCCGCATCCAATTTAGTGTTGGCTATAATTTCCAGGAATCTACTCTCACTGTCAAAATATTGAAAGCTCAGGAGCTGCCAGCCAAGGATTTCAGTGGCACAAGTGACCCTTTTGTCAAAATCTATCTCCTGCCAGATAAAAAGCATAAACTGGAGACCAAGGTGAAAAGGAAGAACTTAAATCCACATTGGAATGAGACCTTTCTTTTTGAAGGTAGGTAAGAAGGTCTAAGTTCTGGATTCTAATTACTGAAATCAAGGTTTTGCTGAATAAATCATAGTTCGATTTTCAACCTGTCAAGTATATGGTAGTGGTCTTCATTTCCTGAACTTAAAGACTAGCAACATAGTTGAAAGAAAACTGCTGACAGGCAGAAAACCTGTCCATGAATAGAAATAGACAGTGTGTCAGAGGAGGACTGATCAATTGTGGTAATCCTTTTGTCCTAGAAAGAATGTTTCAAGGTTGAACATTTGGGGAGCCACTCTTGTCAAATGGGACAGAAAGAAAGAGTGAATGATGTTCATCACCCTTCTTCGGTTGTTGTTTTTTTTCATCAGACTAGTGTAAATATTTCTGAAGAACACAAACATGATAGCAATAGCTCTTATACTTATATACCACTTCACAGTCCTCTCTAAGCAGTTTACAGAGTCGGAGTATTGCCCCCCAAAATCTGGGTCCTCATTTTATCAACCTTGGAAGGATGGATCGCTGAGTCAACCTTGAGCTGGTGAGATTTGAACTGCTGAATTGCTGGCAAATGTAAAACTGCCGAACTGCTGGCAACTGGCAGTCAGCAGAAATAGCCTGCAATATTGCATTCTAACCACACCACCATGGCTCTTAAGATTGAAGGCTTTAGAGCAGGGGTGTCAAATCACATCATCACAGTGGCATCACATGACATATCGGGACTTTTCCCCCCTTTGCTTAACTGGGTATGGACGTGGCCAGTGCATGATTCATCTGGCCTGCGGGCCATGAGTTTGACAGCCCTGCTTTAGAGTGTACGCAACCAATGTTTCTCCTAATGATCACACCACAATCCACCTCCTTATATTTTCACTAATATTAGAGTTCTAGCATGGGAGAGGTGAAACCATAAATATGTTCACTGAAGAAAAGAAAAACAGAAGCACTGCCATGGTGGATCAGACCACTGGCCCATCTTTTCCAGTAGTCCATTCTCACAGTAATCAACCAATCGCACAAGGAATCCCACTAGTCTCCCAGCAGAAGGTCTTTAGAGACAGTCACATTACCATCAAAACCTAACAGCCATTGATCCCATGACTTCCCTGAAGTGGTCCAACCCTTTGTTGAAGACAGCCAAGCTGGTAACCAGCACTCACATCTCTTAGTAGCAAATTCCAAAACTGCATTGCTAGTCCCAATTTCCATTTCAGGAGAGAGAGAGAGTATGTGTGTGTGTGTGTGTGTTGTCTGCCAGTCACAAAAACATTATAGCAGTTAGTGTAAAGAGGAACTGTAATGCTGCCAAACTCTCATTCCCTTGTTGTTATTAAAAGCCTATGACTACCATTGATGATGAAAAAATAACATGCAAGCAATTTTGCAATCAGGTGCTTTTTCCAGTAACATTATAACTATGGCTGTATGTTGCTGTAGTGGAGGAAAAGAAATGGTAAATCTAAACAATGCCTACAAGTTGGCACCAAGACAAAATACTGAAGATTTTTGGTGAGCAGATGACTGGGTTTTGGAGCAACAAAAATCAGACTTCACTCTAGCTCCCTTTGCCTTGCCTGCTAAGCATTTGGGAATATTTTCAAGGATTTGCAAGTAATTCGAATGCTGTATAGCTCAAGTAAATGCCATCAATATTTTAAAATAGAATCATTATGATAATGTGTAATTGACTAGCTGAAAGGAGAAAAAAAAACTCTGAACAGTTGTTGTGAAAGAAGGCTTCTGAAACAATCAAGTTACCCTTCCCTTTTAAGAGCCCATGAACAGAATTGTATTAGCTGAAGCCTAGAGGCCAGGAGACAAGAGAAGGTAAGTCTTCCCACCTGTGAAGAAACAGACTGTTAATAAACTGTTCAGAGTTTATTGAGGTAAAATGAAAGACTGCTTTTTTATTACTTCAAACACATGATTGTTGAACTGGATATTATCTCAGCTACCAAACATAGATGAAGGTGAGGGAGCATGAAGCTCCAGACCTGAGTTTAAAGTAATGCAATATCCCAGTAGGGAGATTCTGTGTGAGATTGTTCTCATTCTCCCAATATAATAGGGATACCATTTTTGTGCCATATAACTGTAAAGAATTCAGTATTGACGTGGTCTATGACAAAAAGGTTTTTTTTTTTACATCATAACAAAAAACCATAGCTATTGACCACTCCTAATGAAGACTGAAGTAAAAAAGCTTCTTTAATATTTTAAATATGGAAATGTGCATGTACTGAGGGCATAAGCCTGCAATTGTTGCACATATAATAGCATCTGAGTATTAAGGGAATTGTAATCCAATGTACTGAAGGATGTCGAGTTGAGGAATACTACATTCTCTATCAAGTCATCCCATGGTTTACCTATTTCATCTGGTCAGTTTGTTTTACCTTCTGTCTCCTTTACTTTATCCAATTGTCTTAGCTCCTGCCAAGTTAGATCATGCCCTTATTCCATTATATTTAGTACCATTCTCCAGGGAAACAGCAGTGTATTGCATTAACATAGAAAGAACAAAATTCTTCACTTGTAATCTAAGTGCAAATTATGGATGAAGACCAGGATTTGTCTTGGCTCTTAGAACAGACAGTCAGTTCTCTGAAGCATCAAGTTGGATTAATAAAACTTTATTGCTACTCATTAATCTAGAAGATGAGAGCCAGTTTGGTGTAGTGGTTAAGACAGCAGTCTAGAATCCAAGAGACACGCATTCTAGTCCTGTGTTAGGCACGAAGCCAGCTAGGTGACCTTGGGACAGTCACTGTCTCTTAGCCCTAAGAAAAAGGCAAACCATTTCCAGAAAATAGCAAAGACTAGTCCAGGCATACTCCAGAGACAAGATGGACTTGAAGTCACAGGACAAAAAAAAGTCTAAAAGACTAAAAAGTTATCCAAAGCTACAAGATTATCTGTAAGTATAGTTGCTGTTATCTTTATTTTGATTTGATATATTACTATGGAAAAGACCACCGTGTAGAAGGGAATGACTGTCTTCAGATGAAGCCATTTTTACATTTCAAATTCTTGTTACTCTGCTTTAACTATATTTCATCTCTCGTTTTCTTTATTTCTCTCTGTCTCTTTCTCACCTGCTGCTCCTTTGCTTTCATCAGGTTTTCCATATGAGAAAGTGGTTCAGCGGGTGCTGTATCTACAGGTCTTGGATTATGATCGGTTTAGTCGTAATGATCCAATTGGGGAAGTTTCCATTCCTCTCAACAAAGTGGACTTGACTCAGATGCAGACATTCTGGAAGGATCTAAAGCCCTGCAGTGATGGCAGTGTAAGATACTAGCTTTGCTTTGTAACTTTGCACATTTTTCCTAGCATGGCAAGAGGAGATCAAGGTTTTAAAGTACTATTGATGAGATCCTTCCTGCTTCTCTTTATAATGCCTTAAATAAGGGCATAAAACCTTAATACCTACAAGATGTCAAGTATGGTTGTAGATACCATGTAAGGCAGATACAGTCAGTGAGAGAAGCCTAACACCCACCTTCAATGCTTCTGAATGTAATTACTTGCCAGCAGCACAAAACACATATGAAGTTTGCTGGTTACATTCACTGAATTATTAATATTATTATTATTTAGGTTATGATGAGAACAAGACAGAAGAGAAGTAAACATATATACACAGTCCACATAATTATAAGTAAAACTTCTAGGGGGGGTACAGCAGTGGCTTTATAACTGGATGTCCAATTAAGCTATCCAGGCAATTGCCTCTGGAGTTGCTTCATGCAAATCTTCTAGGGAACCAGAGAACACACGTCATTGGCAATCTTGCACAATATAATTAATAGTTTGCACATCAGCACCCACAATCACAACAAAGGGAATCTTTCTTGCTGGATGGTATCGCTACAATGAAGAAACTATATCTGAAAGAAAAGGCATTCCATTATTTTTTTTAAAAAAAAGACAATAATAAATGCTCCTAACAAGCATTCCTTTTTTTTTTCCAATTTACTCAATCCAAGAGCAAAATGATTAATCTTGCCTCGCTTTTGAATTCTCATGCTTATTTATACTATCCTATTATAATCCAAACTGGCATTCCAGAACACAGCTACCAGCCGTAAGTATTGTTGGTCTTGATTATGAATACAAATAATTATTTCAGCCAATGCCAGGGAAATATTTTTACCATTTAGCACAAAGGTACAAAAATAGCAGCTCAGGAGCTGCAAATGTCTTACCAACATGCTTTTGTGCCCCTGTAGATTCTTTTATAAGTGCCTTTGATCCAATTTCTGCAGTGCAGAAGGGCTAAAGGGACAAAAAAGTCCCTTAAGATTAGCAGATAGAGATAGTCAGCAGTATATAGATAGTCACTTAACAACCATTTGAAGTTACGTCAGACCTCCCCGGGGGTACTTACAACCAAGTTCTGAACTTCCAGTGCCCCTCCCCCCCCACAGTCACATGAATGCATTCTGTGCACTCAACAACCAGACTACATTTATGACCATTTGCAATGTCCTATAGTCATGTGACCACATTTTTGCCCAAAACTGGCATTTACGTCCAGTTTTCCACAAAACCAGTCAAATGGTTTGCTTAATGATCACAGCATTCACTTAACAACCCCGATATTCATTTAACAGTCGCAAAATCACTACCAAAAGATTGTAAAATCCCTTTGGTTGTGTGGGTGACCCCCTTAATGACTGTCGCAATTTACAATCCATTATGATCACAAGTCGAGGACTACCTAGTCAAAACACTTGTTTCAACCCTTGCTTTGCTCACTGTAGGAATGCAATCTCCATTATGCCACACAAAGCAGGCTGTGGCTGTTGACCTGATGAAATTTATGATGGAAAACATGTGAAGCTGTATTCTGTATAGAATGAATGGACCAACTCTTGAGGGATGCTCAGAAGACTTCAGTTCTGAGCATGGTGAACCTTTAGAAGGGGCATCAATGATGTCCAACATCAGACAAGATTTCCTCATTTCTGTTCATTCTTCTTTCTAGGGAAGCCGAGGAGAACTCCTTCTGTCCCTTTGCTACAATCCTTCTGCTAACTCCATTACTGTGAATATTATCAAAGCTCGGAATCTTAAAGCCATGGATATTGGGGGAACATCAGGTATCGAGTTCCAGAACAGTAGCAAATAACCCCAAGTCAAAAGTCACCCACAAATTAACCTTTTCCTCAGAAGCCTGGGCACTTGTATTTGTGGTAAATCTGGTAGAAAACTGTGAAATATCAGAATATCTTTGATGGTCAGACCTTTTTCCTCCAGCTGTGGTGCAAGAATTGTGTGTTATTTATGTTTTACATCAACGGCTGACAGAGATGGTGCCGTCTTAGCTCATCCAGTAAGGAGAAAATGTGTAAGGGATTTTTCCTTTACCGTGTGTAAGGGAAAAAAATACTAACCATTACCATGGCAGTATTCCATTTACAAGGACAAAGGTCGTCCTAAAACAACAGGTGCCACATAGCTGAAGAGTCCTTTGAAGGTCTGAAAAGACAACGTCAACTTTAGTTTAGTTTCTATAATTTAAAGTGAAAAATAGGTCCAGGGCATTATCCGATGTGTCCTCCTTACTGAAACTTCAATTAGGTTATGTCTTATTACTGTATCATGGTGAAACTACTAGGGAAGTCCGTGCATAGTATTTTTACTTTTATGAGGAGAAAAGTAGATATAAACCTTTCAGAACATTCAGTGGGAACAACAAAGAACTTTCCCCATGATATATGCATCAGCTCCATCTTTGCAGGAGTTTTGTTGGCTCATGGATGAAAGGATACATTCAAAAGTATTTCTTTTCATTTCTAATAATTGTCAACCTACCACAAGAAATATTGTAAGAGAACAGAAAAGTAGTTTCCAATTTTTCTGTCCACTTGTGGGAGGAAGCTTTCTTTCTTGAATTCCTCTAAGGTGGCTAAAGGAATCATAGGAATTTTGGACAAAATCTTTCACTGCAGGAATCAGCAACTTAACCAGCCATATATTGAACGTATGACTCAAAAACTACCTTATGTTGCTGAAATTTGGTGGCAAAATGGTCAAATTTCAGCAGGGTGGTTTTGTTTGGTTGGTTTTTATAGATTAAAAAGTGTGTGTGTGTGTGTGTGTCCCTAATATTTGGAACAAGCATTTGGAACAATAGCATGACTCATTCTGCATCATTTTAGAATACTGCCTGTAAATGGGAAATGTCAAAATTAATGAATTATTTAAATAAATAGGCTGGAAAAAATGTCCATGTATATCAGAGGTAAGTAACCTTTTGAGCTTCAAGAATTCAGTGTGATATTAAGTGGTGGGTTGATGGCTGCACATCCCCATGCATAAACGAAGTTGACCAAGTGGGGGAAATGGACAAGGCTGTCTTTGGCTTTCCAGTCTACAGAAGAATGGTTAAAAGCCACAGGTGAGCTGACAATTGCCTACATCTAACTTGAAACAACTTACAATATTGTAATATTGAGAGGGACATGGTGGCTCAGGGGCTAAGATGCTGAGCTTGTAAATCGAAAGGTTGGCAGTTCAGTGGTTTGAATCCCTAGTGCTGCGTAACAGGGTGAGCTCCCATTACTTGTCCCAGCTTCTGCCAACCTAGCAGTTTGAAAGCACGTAAAAAATGCAAGTAGAAAACTAGGGACCACCTTTGGTGGGAAGGTAACAGCGTTCCATGCGCCTTTGATGTTTAGTCATGCCAGTCCCATGACCACAGAGACGTCTTCAGACAGCGCTGGCTCTTCGGCTTTGAAACAGAAATGAGCATCGCCCCCTAGAGCCAGGAACAACTAGCACATATGTGCGAGGGGAACCTTTACCTTTATGCTGCTATGCAGCATCTCATATTTGATTTTTTTTAAATGGTACAAAGTATTCACAAACTTGAACATAGCTCTCTTTTTTTGCAACTGTGCTGTGTCTTTTCTGGGATTGTATGGGCACCCTTGGCAATGGCAGGACTGCTTTAAGGAACTATAAAAATACTACATTCATGCCCCCACAGGCTCCAAATGGACTAACACCAATTCACTTTTCTCTGTAGAACTTAAATTTACAATTGGACCTTTTTCTATAAATAAAATGGAACCTTGTACTTTCAAATTTCGTTTAAGTGCATCATACTGTAAGAAACAAATGATTTTTAGCAGGTTCAGTAAGGGTGATAAGTACTGGCATGTTCCCTCTACAACTCATAGTGTTTTCTCAGTTAAATCCTGGCAATCATGTCCATTTTCCTTGCATCAGATCCCTATGTGAAGGTGTGGCTGATGTACAAAGATAAGCGGGTGGAAAAGAAGAAGACGGTGGTGATGAAGCGATGCCTGAACCCAGTGTTCAATGAATCCTTCATGTTCGACATCCCCACAGAGAAGCTGAGGGAGACCACCATAATCATTACGGTCATGGATAAGGACAAGCTGAGCCGAAATGATGTCATTGGAAAGGTAGGTCATCCCTTTGGCTGAGGATAAGCTCCTTGCTTATCAGAATTTAGGGTTTGCGTTCCTCCTCAAATACTCATGGTTTCCTGTCAGAAATACTATTAGTGCTTTAGTTTTCTTGCAGCTTTATACCAGCTAAATCCCTCCACGTGTATTTGATCAGATATATTTTATTAAAATCCCTTTTATGATAAATGTAAGCCAAAACAATTTCAAATCACTGGGAAAGAGCAACTTTGCAAAAAGAAAATTTGCTCCCACAGCTAAATAGCAATGGTAGAAGGTAACAAGAAGAGATGAGACAATCTATAGGAACAGAGAATGAAAACTAATTATAATGATAATGGAAGATACAAGTTCCATATAGTGGTTAGGATTAAAAGATTATGCCAAAAGCAGAAAAGGGTGAATTATAATTGAAATTTCATGGCTGGACTTTTAACAGAATATTTGGCAGTGCTTCAGGTGGAAAGAACAGACTCCCAAAGGCTTCCAGCTCCCATTTTGACCCTTACTTTCTCTCCAAAACATTCAGTTGTAGTTTAATATTCAGAGCAATCCTAACTCCCTTGAGCAGCCATTTCAGGAAAGAACAGATGGGGTAGATGGTCCATTAGGATTGTTCTGCCTACCACTTCAGTCCTGAGTATATTTCTATTGTTCCTAGCAATAGAAACCAGCAGAAGACCGAGGAATAATTCATGGCTTGGTCAGGAGCAATACAAGACAGATTTGGATCCAATTGTTTGTCCTCTTAGAAAGCCCTGAGTCTTTTTTTCCACCACACCAATCTGAAGAGTAGGTAACTAAATTATCTCTCCATTACAAACAATTGAAGTGGGATGTGATAAAAAGAAAGCAAATTTACTCTACTATAGCCAGACATTGCTCCTGCCTTCCTGGCACAAGTAGTGCTTACAGCTTGTCCCACTTTAAATTCTATGTCTCAAATGTCTACAAGAATAGAACAGTAAGAGATTTGTACTAAATATATCTTGATTTGCCTCAAAATATTCCTGCAGTCCTCATCCTTCTGGAGTAGAGAAAATTTGCTTAGGATAAACTTGAATCTGAGTCTCTAGCAAAAATCTTAAATTAACAGTTAACTGGATATAGAGCTTTGGGCATTCTATGTGCAAACAATGTGTGTGCTGCCAACAACTTAATTTAATTGTTAGAGATATCACAGCTGGGTATTGAGATAAAATTAAGAACAAATCGGAACCAACATATTAGCACAATTCCTTGGCATGTCCAGCACTTTCTGTTACAACTTAGTTTAGCATTCTGATTTGAATCTGCACAGTGATTCTAATAAATAGTGTTATATTGTGACTTCTGCTTTAAATCAATTTGTGGAAAATATTAGTCAAATAGATCCACCCAAAGCTTATAATTTGTAGTATGGGATAGTAGAATAATGCGAGCTAGATGCTTGGCAACATAATCACAAAATTATATGTCATGCTTCCTTACCCAATGCCATTTTGTACTATTTTTTTTTCAACAGGGTCAATTATCCTGTGGCATTTTGCAATTCAATGATATATTGTATAACAATTTAGCTTAATGAATTTCAGGAAATGTTAAATACAAATTTGTTATAGCTGGAGAACTGACTTCTTGCTTTAAAATGCAAGCTTATATACAGCACTTTAAATAAATTAATTAGCTTTAAATGTGATTTACATTAAATATATATCATTCTGTTCTCATTAGTGAATAATAATAAATTGACATCCTAATCTTGATGTTTGATTTGTGCCACAGAGTGAAAGTTATTCCATAATATGGCATGATATTAAAACAAGTGGCGTGTATATCAAATTAAATCAACATAACATGAATTCAACATCAATAAGATGCCAATTTAAGCATAACAAAATTGTATAGTAATGCAAGCTTGATCTGGTTCTTGAGAAATTATTAACTTTGCTCAAGACCCCAGAAGTCTCTTTAGCGAAGTCCAATTTACTGAGGAAGGGAAGCAGACACAGAATACCCATTCTTGACGTTCATGAATTGTTTCTGTATGGAATTTCAGTAAGTAGAAAACCAGCTACTGTCAGACCAGACCAGGAAATCAACTCCACATGAAGGCTAAAACAACTTTTATTGCAATCGACAATAGTAACAGAATCTTACAAATCTGATTATGCTATATCACCTCCTCCTCCTCCTCCTCCTCCTCCTCCTCCTCCTCCTCCTCCTCCTCCTCCTCCTCCTCCTCCTAATAGTTTAGTGAATTAAGAAAGTGTCTGCCTGATCCATTTCCAAATATTATGTCATTTCTCTGGGCTTAAAAAAAATGTTTCAGCAGCTTTGGCCTGAGTGATAGTTCCTGTATATCTCGGACAGGGTCTTTAGATACCCCCAGATTATCTCATAGAACCTGTTTAGATGACCTCAGTAAATCTGGAAGTTCATAGACTGCCTGGACCAATGCTGTTTCAGGCTTGGAAAATAATGACCGTGCTCTGTGCTAATTTTCTGCAGGGCGGTCCTTTAAATAAAGACCTCTTAACATCTTCCCAAATATTTGCAAAGGTATTTGGGGAAATGTAGGGAAAGGAAGGGTTTCATTCAGGTTCTGATTAGAAAGGGAGAGATTCTGAACAAAGTTAAAGCTAAGTTTCAGTTACGAAACCCACGGTCACTAAATGGAATAAAACATCAAGATCAACTAAAAACAAAACTTACGCAATTTGAGTATTAGAATAGCTCAGCTGCTTCAACCTCTGCTGAAGCTATGTGATAATAATGAGTGACTGAATAATTACTATTGTCAACCTCCAATCAAGTTATGAAATCACATGGCTTTGAGTGAGAGTCAGAAAGCTACATTAGAGATTCTGGAAGACAGATCTTGGCTGTCATTGTGGGGGAGAAGATGACACACAAATCCTCCATGCATCAGTATAGAAACCCAGTTGATAAAAATAACTGAATCTACCACAGGGATTAACACTTCTTAGCTTTGCCATGTAAACTAATTCTGACACCTCCAACACATTTGCAGAAGAGAAGAGAAATAAAGGCTGGATGGTAGCTGGTGTGGGTGAAAAATTCCAGCCAACAGGACAACACTTTAACTTCATACTGAAGATGTGAAACCCGGGGCAGTTACATGGGAGTAAAAACTGGAGATATATCTCTGGGTTCTGTTGTGTCTGCAGCAATGATGCCAAAATGATAATGGTTATGTTACCATGCCAATGTTATCATTATATATTTATAGCCTGACTTTTAATTCAAATACATATGTTGTAGCATTTGTCTTGACGAATTTGTCTCACATATTTAATTCTTGCTATCACCCATCCAGAAATTCATATTTCTTAACGTAGTGTCTTTTCCCCCATGTGCCCATCATTTACAAGCAAAATGATGTGATACTATGGGAGATGGAGTTATAGTCCACAACACTGGGAAACCACCAGTTTAGGAAATACTGATCTGTAGAAACTTCATGTTCTTTAATGGGCCCATAGTGATTAATAATAGAAATAGAATCATAGGACTGGAAGGGACCTCGAAAGGTTTCTAATCCAACTCCCTGCCCAAGGAAGGAGTCCTTATTCTATTCCAGATAAATGGTTGTCCAATCTTTTCTTAAGAACCTCCAGCAATAGAGCACCCACAACTATGGGGGCAAGCTATTTCATTGACTAATTGTTCTCACTGTTAAGAAATTTCTCCTTTGTTCCAGGTTGGGTGTCTCTCTAACAAGCTTCCACCCATTGCTTCTTATCCTGCCCTTAGGTTCTTTGGAGAATAAATCAACCCCCTCTTCCCCATGACAGCTGTTCAAGTATTGGCTATCGAAGATGGCTATCATGTCACTCCTAAGTCTTCTCCTCATTAGGGTAATGAAGGTTCCCTTAGACATTCCTCATACAGTTTAGCCTCCAAACACCTTATCAACTTTGTTGCTCTTCTCTGCACTCTTTCTAGGGCCTCATCATCTTTTTTGTATCATGGTAATCAGAACTGTATGCAGTATTCCAAGTATGATCTTATTAGTATGATATAGAGCAGTACTATCACTTCTTGTGATTGCGATGCTATCCCTTTGTTGATGCAACCTAGAACTGCATTGGATTTTTTGGCAGCTGCAGCACACTGCTAGTTCATACTTAAGTGGTGGTCTACTACCTAGATCCCTCTTACAATTACTACTGTTGAGCGAGGTACTGCCTATTCTGTAACTGTGCTGTGCTTTTTCCTGCCTACGTGCAGAACTTCACTTTTCTCAACACTGAACTGCATTTGTTGGATAGGACCCAATACTCAAGTCTGTCAAGATCCTTCTGAATCATGAGTCTGTCTTCCAAAGAATTAGCAATTCCACCCCCCACCCAGCTTGGTGTAGTCTGTGAACTTGATGAGCGCCCCTTCAATCCCCTCATCTAGGTCATTTATGAATATGTTGAAGAGCACTGCTCCCAAGGCAGAACCTTGAGGTACCCCACTATATACTTCCGTGCAGTTGAAATTCCACTGAGCACCACACACTGACATTCATATATTTATATTTTATATCGTTCATATATTCCTATGTATTCAATAATACATTCAGATAACATGCAGTTCTCTAAAATGCATTACTAGGGTTGGGATTTTATTAGGAAATATGCTTCTTTAAACGTCAGACCCGCTGGCTATTTAACTTATTTGATCTATGAGCAGGGATGTTCAGTTTTCTATGACCAAGCCCAAGTAACTCTATCTAGCTATTTCTTTGTATGTTGAATGTCTTCATTTTTCAACTGTGCAGACCAATCTTCTCAAGATACTACATGCAGCTGTCTCATGAAGGGAAGAATGCATCTTTATGTCTTTTTCTTGAAGACTGGCAGCTGCTTCGCATGACTACTCTATTTTGTTGGGAAATTCACATTCAGCCTTTCTTTTCCTTTCCTCTCAGATGAAATCCCACAATTCTGAACAGTCAGCATACAACTGGAAATATAATCAGCTGTGACTCAACTGCACCTGATCAG